CAAGTCATAGAATGCTGTTTCATCAGTTCAGTCTCATGTACTTAATTTTCTTCTGTTTCTGTTGAGGTTCGATCTTCCAGATTGAACTCTGGGATATAATACTCAACTCCAGACTTTGTCCCTACAATTAAGTTGCCCATTTTCTTAGTTTCTGAACTCTTATTTCTGTGTGTCTGCATTTAATTTTACTGACATAGCACTCCCTTAAGAACTTCTTGGAGATCTGGTCTGGTGCTGGTAAATTCTTTCAGGTTTTGTTTATCTGGGAATGTTCGTGTCTTTTCTTCCCAAATGAACGATAATCTTGCTGGGTACAGAATTCTCGGTTGAAATTGCTTTTCCCTTAATACTTTGAATATATTTTCCCATTCTTTCCTCGCTGCCCAAGATCCAGAGAGAAGGGATTGCGGTGTGGCCATCCCCCCGGGAGGTGATTTCTCACTTTTTCTCTCTCTGTCTCGCTCCGTCTGTCTGGCAAGCACATGCACCCTATAGCAAAAACCTTTCAAGAAAGAAAGAAAGAAAGAAAGAAAGAAAGAAAGAAAGAAAGAAAGAAAGAAAGAGAGAGAGAGAGAGAGAGAGAAAGAAAGAAAGGAAGAGAGAGAAAGAAAAAAGATGAGCCCTATGTACAATAAGTAGACGTTCTCTATAACATAGCTCTCTTTTCTTAGAAAATGTGTTTACATTCTTTCCCTTCTATATATTGTTTTAATTATGCTACTTTACCTACAAGATGTTTTTTCTTTCTCAATTTCTTCTATAACCATACCTTGTACAATTGTCCCCAAGACTTCCACTTCTGACAGTTAATAAACTAGATTTCCTGAACTACCTCCCAATACAAACGCCCAGGAATGCTGGGTAAAATATAACAAACATCTTTTGATAGTCGCGGAGGAGCTCGTAAGAAAGGAAGAAAATCTCCATAGGCCGAAAACAAAGAGATCATTGAAATCAAGACAACTAAGCAGACAGTGACACTGACAGCATTTCAGCCTGGCTTCCGTAGGCTTAGGTTTGAGTGGCCACACGAGAACGGGACAAAGGTCTCGATGCGTGGTAAAGAGTAAACCCTCGTGTAGAACTTGGATTCTCTTTTTTCTTTCTTCCTTTTTTTTTTTTTTTAGGTTTTTGCTATAGGGCGCGCGCGCTTGCCAGAAAGACAGAGAGAGACAGAGAAACAGAAAGCGAGAAATCACCCGCCGGGGGATGGCCATGCCGCAATCCCTTCTCCATTCTTCTCTCAGGATCTTGGGCACACACGCACTTGTGCCCAGCGTGAGTTTAAGCCGCCAGGTCCGAGACTCGAACCACAGTCAACTCCATGGGAGTCCAGCCACATAGCCATAACACTAACTGCTGGTCCCAGAATTTGGATTCTTGAAAGACCTCAGTGAAAAAGAGGACTGGGGATTGGGGGGTGGGTGGGGGGTATCTGTCTAGCAGCAAAGAGAAACAGCAGAAAACAAAATGGAAACAAAAAGCATGTGCGTTGGGGCCAGCACATGGTGTGGTAATTAATGCACTGGACTCTCACGCAATTGACCCATGGTTCAAGTCCTGGACCTGGTACCTTGAAAATCATGCTAGGCATGTGTGTGTGCACCCCCAAAATCCTGAGAGGAAAACTGGAAGAGAAGGGACTATGGTGTGGCCACGTGACAATAAATAAATAAATAAATAAATAAATTACCATGTGTCTCATCTTGGGCTATGGGAGGCAGAAAAGTGTCCTCTGAGAATTCATAACAGACCTTCCTTCCTGTACATTTTCGTGTTTAATTTACCTGTCTGGTAAATGCTATGTAAAACCCATGTACATATAAAATCACCCAAAGTCTGTTATGCATGCAACAGGAATGACCGGGCAAGAGTAGTGAGTGGCAGGGTTTCTCCGAAGGGATGCACAGGAATGCACCCTTGCTATGACTTGCATGTGTGTGGGGGAGATGGAGAAGGGATTGCAGCATGACCACGCCCCATGAGGGATCAGGACACTTTCTCAATTTATCTCTCCCAGAGAGCATACATGCCTTCTGGCAAAAAAAAAAAAAAAAAAGCAAGGAAAAAAGAAACTTAATTCCCAATGCAACAGTATTAAGAGATGGGCCTTTAGGAGGTAATTAGGCCATGTGATCTCTTCCCTCATGAATTTAGTGCCTTATAAAGGGCCAGAGGGAACTAACTAGGCCCTTTTTGCCCTTGCATTTTTTCTACCATGAGAGGAAAGTGTTCAAGACACCATCTTGGAAGTGGAGACCAGGCCCTCACCAGTGACCAAATCTATTGGTGCCTTGATCTTAGTCCTTCCCACCCCCAAAATGGTGAGAAATAAACTTCTATTGTTTATAAGTTACCCAGTCTCAGGCATTTTGTTAGAGCTGCAGAAATAGACTAAGACAAACCTCAACTGAGGTTTTGCAGGGTTCTCGGGAATAAATCCCTGCTCAACTTTAGCCTACAATCCAAAATTAGAAAACTTAGAAGAATCAAGTCACCATGAGTGAGAAACAGCAGAATAACTGTAGTACCCCTGAGCTCCAGAAAATGAAAAGATTAGCTGTTAAATATTTTTAAAAGGTGTTTAACAAAAATAAAAGTGGAACTAAGAGCATTAACAACGTCTTTCCAAACATACCAGTCAGATTTGAAATTTTAAACTTCTAGAAATAAATATTTTATCAAAATGTAAAAGATAGTAACTGTTAAAATAACAGATTAAACACAGCTGTTAGTCCTCCCACCTCAACAGAAGGGAGAAAAAAAATAGTACTCTGGAAGAGAAAGCTGAAGAAATTGCTTAGAAAGCACAAAACTTAGAAGTCTGAAAGAGAAACAAAATGACATAGAAAACAGAATGAAGATAAAATATATCGCACTGATATTCCAGAAGAAAAGGAGAGAGGAGCGGTATTTGAAGAGAAAGTGGGTGAGGCTTTTTTAAATTGCTGAACAAGCAGTAATCTATAAATTCAGGAATCGCAGTGACTCCCAAGCAGAAATAATTTAGAAACCCATATAAAGGCAAACTGTAATGAAATTACAGAACATCAAAGACAAGGAGAAGATTTTAAAAGCCACCTGAGAATACTTACCTGGCAGGGGAAACACCATGATCACGAAGGTGGTTTTCCCAGGGCGAGGCTCACCCATTGCACTGCGGGTGTGCTGACCTCTGCGATTTCCCCAAATGCAGGAAACTAGACTGCATAATTTGTGGTAGTGGGGGACTGCGTGCATGTTCTTCACCTCCCCCCCAAAAAAAGCCACCTGAGAGAAAAGATTTCTTGTAAAAGAAATCTTGTTCTCAGTAACAACTATGTATACCAAAAGGGAAGAGTCATAATATATTTAAAATACTAGGGAAAATGTCAGATTTAGACTACCCATCCAGCTAAGAACAAAATAAAGATACAGCTTTCCTTAAGAAATGTGTATACAGGACCGGGACCAGCAGTTAGCGTAATGGCTATGTCGCTGGACTCCCATGTAGTCGGCCACGGTTCGCTAGTGCGGCGCTGAGCAAAAAAAAAAAAAAAAAAAAAAAAAATTCTCTCAAGAAATGTATATACAGGACCAGCAGAAGGCATAATGGTTACGTCGTTGTACTCCCACGTAGTCAACCATGGAGAATGGAGAAGGGATTGCACCATGGCCATCCCCGCCCGGGGGGGTGATTTCTCGCTTTCTGTCTCTCTGTCTCTCTCTGCCTTTCTGGCAAGCGCATGCGCCCTATAGCAAAAACCTCTCCCACCCCCACCCCCCAAAAAAGAGTTGATCCTGTTGTTGAGGATGTGTATGGTATTCTCAACTGGCTGGACTGAGGTGTATATCATGCTGGGTAAAGTCTCTTCACAATCTAAATGATGTATAGCGATTCAATGTATAAATGTAATCCTAATAAAACAAATTTTTGGAAAGTAAAGAAAACATAAAGAAGAAAACGAAAAGCATACCTGCCAATCTTCCCACCCCACAGTTCTCCACTATTATCATGTGTTTATTCCTGTGGACTTTTCCCTAGGTACAGAGGCATGGTTTGTATGTTCTTTTGTATCCTGTGCCTTAGTCACCATCGCCTTGTGAGCATTTTTATTTAAAAGTACCTCAAGAGCATTATTTTGATGCTCTGGACAAGGGTCTTTTTCTTTCTTTCTTTCTTTCTTTCTTTCTTTCTTTCTTTCTTTCTTTCTTTCTTTCTTCCTTCCTTCCTTCCTTCCTTCCTTCCTTCCTTTCTTTCTTTCTTACGAGCTTCTCTACCTGCCTGCTGTAGCATTCTGTTCACCCCGAGAGCTGTTACCTTTTACAGCAGTAACACCATGAAACAGGCCCTGAAACATCTCCCAGGAGAGTTTGCATCTTCAAGGCGCATAACAGATCATTTCCAATCGATGAATGAAGTCAGTCTGTTCCGGTCACTCATTCTGTGCCTGGGGCCCACCTTGGCTTTGTGTGACATTGCAAGGAGCTCTTCCTTCTGCCCGACAGAGATGGTCTGTGGCCTCCAGGCAGGAATCTCACCCTTGCCATGGGGACACTTGTAAGCACTGCCTGCTATGATTGGTGCAAGAGCACCAATGTCACGCACACCCTCCGCATCCGTTCTGCAGCTGCGTACTGGGAAAAACATGCTCACTGGTCACGTGCATCTCCCGGGCCCCAGACACCCTAGAGAAGTCTGGATGGGGACTGAGCAGCTTAGCAAAACCGTCAGCGGGCGCATCCTACTGCAGCAGGTCTGTGCTGAAGTAGGCCAGGCTCTGCACACCCTGGGAAAGCCATCACCCGCCTTGGTTTCCTTGGCAGGTTTTTGTGCAGCGGTGCCTGGCAGCGAAGAACACATCCCACGTGAAGGGCAGCTGCATCCTGTGTGGGTACCTGAAGCTGCTGCCCATGTTCACTATAGTGATGCCAGGGATGATCAGCCGCATCATGAGCCCAGGTAAATCCTCTCTAATCTCCTCTTTCTCTTTTTTAAATTATTTTTTTTGAGAGATATTTTTGCTATAGGGCATATGCATTGGCCAGAGAGACAGAAACAAAGAGACAGAAAGCAAGACAGCACTCCCCAAGGGGATGGCCACACCACAATCCCTTCTCCTCCATTCTCCTCTCAGGATCTTGCACACACTTGCATAGCGCCCAGTGTAAGTTTTAAGCCGCTGGGTCCAGAACTCAAACCACAGTGGACTACATGGAAGTCCCGCGATTTAACCATTACACCATCTGCTGGTCTGTTTTTTTTTTTATTTTTTAGTTTTATTTAGATGGGGTCTTGCTATATCACAGTCCTCCAACTTCAGCCTCTCCATTAGCTGGATTTACAAATGCATGCCACCATGACCAGAACATTCCATTCTGATATGCTCACACCGTCAACTACTCTCAGAGAGGCAGTGAATATTTTGGGTTATCAGATCTCCCATGGTCTCCTGGTCATCGAGTTATCCTGGAGTGTACCTGAGGAATTAATGGACTCAAATCAGGATGCAGTCAAGAAGAAACTTGATATAGGCATGGACCAGTAGATGGCATAACAGTTACGTCCCTCGGCTCTCACTTAGTAAACCACAGTTCAAATCCCGGACCTGGCAGCTTAAAATTCATACCAGGCACGAATGCGTGCGTGCCCAAAATCCCAAGGGAAGAATGGAGGACGAGAGATTATGGCATGGCTATCCCCCCCCCGGGTGGGGGGCATATCTCATTTTCTGTCTCTCTGGTGAGCACACATGCCCTATAGCCAAAATCTCTCTTAAAAAGGAAGGAAGGAAAGAAGGAGGGAGGGAGGGAGGGAAGGAAGGAAGGAAGGAAGGAAGGAAGGAAGGAAGGAAGGAAGGAAGGAAGGAAGGAAGGAAGGAAGTTAATATTGGCAGCAAGGGAGAAATTCCAGGGAGGAAAGGTCAGGCAGGGAAGAGCAGGTCCATGCGTCTTCTCCCATGTCGGGGCCTCGCTCTCTCCACTGGGGTCCCAGTCTCTGCCATGACTTTGAGACGCCCTCTGCAGGCAGGCTGGGTTGTTCCTATCGCATCCCAAATGCCACCATGCTGGGTATGCCCTACAACCCCAAAGGTGAACTTTCAAAGAGGTTGGAGGGAGCTTGATGTCACCCCCAAAGTGGGCCTGACTCTGTGGCACATGTTCTTTCCATTAAATTCTATAAAATGTCTCTGCTTCCCTAATTCGCTATCATATTATAATTCGCTAGGTGATGTTTCATCCCCATGTCACCTTCGTTTTAGTGGCTTGTCCTGTCTCTCCACATGACTGCTCTGTTCACTCACTGAACTTGATGGAGAACTTATTCCCATAGGTGAAGCCACGAGGGCTGAGCAGGCAACTTCCAGGGAAGTCTTTTGCTGCTGAGCTTTTCGCAAGGCCAAACACCACACAGGACACTTTTTACTGCTAGGTAACACATGCAGTCGGCATCTCTTACCCTAATTCATCCTTCACTCTGTCCTTGAGTCACGCCCCCCACCTTTTATTCATTTTTTTCGCTATAAGGCACTTGCACTCACCAGAGAGAGAGAGAAATGACCGCCCAAAGCCACAATCCCTTCTCCTCCATTCGACTCTCAGGACAGGGCCTGCACGCACATGCTCCCAGCCTGTTTTTCAAGCTGCCAGGTCGGGACTCGAATCATGAAGCGAGCCATGTGGGATCTAGCTGCCTTAACCTCCACACCACCCGCTGACCCCCATGCCTCTTTCATTAAAACCTAATTTCTTGGGAACCAGCAGTTAGCATAATGGCTATGTCGCTGGACTCCCACGTAGTCGACCGCAGTTCGTGTCCCGGACCCGGTGGCTTAAAACTCACGCCAGGCGCGTGTGCGTGCGTGCCCAAGATCCCGAGAGGAGAATGGAGAAGGGATTGCAGCGTGACCATCCCCCCTGGGGGGTGATTTCTCGCTTTCTGTCTCTATGTCTCTCTCTGTCAGTGAAAATCTCTCAAAAAAAAAAAAAAAAAAGAAAAGAAAAAAACCTAATTTCTTTCCAGTTTTAATGAGGTGTTTCAATATTCCCAGGTTTGGTCTTCAGATACCCTTGATAGAAAACAGGCTCCCATGCACACCAAGACCCTGGAGTCCCACGTTGCTACTCTGAGGTCACAGCCCTCTCAGGGCTAAAGGGACAAGGTTCTGAGTTGATCACATGTTTGTACGTGGACAGTAAATCCCTTTGCTTTCCTAGCACCTAGCTGGGATCTCTGGAAGTCACGTGACCTGACTTGGGTCAGGCAATGAGCTGGTAAAGAACCAGACACCGACTCATTTGGCTTCTAGGGACCTGAGTCCTAGCCTTCTCCACTACCCCAGGCCCCAGACAAGTGTGTGAGACCATAACTGGAGCAGTTGTCACTAGCTAACATCTAGGTGTGCATGTGTGGTTGCTCATTTGCATCTCTTTCCCTTTTTTTTTAGAGCACTGAGGCCAGCATGTTGCAGTGACCCATTACCCCCCTCTCCTTTTTTTTTTTTTAAGAGAGATTTTTGCTATAGGGTGCATGCGTTCACCAGAGAAACAGAGACAGAAAGCAAGAAACCATCCCCCAGGGGGATGGCCATGCAGCAATCCCTTCTCTTCCATTCTCCTCTCAGGATTTTGGGCACGCACGTGCACACACCCAGCATGAGTTCTAATCCACCGGGTCCGGGACTCGAACCGTGGTTGACTACGTGGGAGTCCAGCGACATAACCATTATGCCATCTACTGGTCCCGACTGTTACCTACCTCTCTTTGCAGATAGAGTGGCCTGTGTTGTACCTTCGGAATGTTACAAGTACTGTGGCTCCACCGTGGGCTGCAACCCCAGCGCGTATCCAGAGCTGGTGGTGGAGCTGCTACCCAGCGGTAAGAAAATGGCCCTGCTGCAGAGGACTCCGAAACCCTATGACCACCCTCGATGATTGCCCGACTTAGAGCAACTAGGGCTGCCAGTAATGGGAAGTTGCAAGAAGGCAAATCAAAGGAACCCAGTCCGTGCCTGCCCTGCCAAGTCACCCGGGACAGTTGGGGGCACCGTTGCCGTGGGCTTCAGGGCCTGGCTGTCCTCAGGCTCCCCCTGTAACACAGAGCAGAAATCTCTCAGCAGAGCAGTTAATGTTCCTGCCATATAGTGGCCTCCCGGGTAATACGAGACCGCTCTGTTTGTCACAAACGTCATTGCACACCTGTTCTACGTTGGGCACTGTGCTTCCTGGATCACTTGCCCATGGTCCGAACCTTCTCAGAGCCTCCAGCTACTTGTCTGAAAGGGAGGCAGCCCTGGCGTCCATCTCACGGGGCTGTAGGGAGAATGGCGCAGGCAAATAGCTGGAGAGATGTCGCTGCACAGAGTAACCCCCAGGAAACGTCAGCTCCCGTCATGACATAGAGACACAGCAGGAAGCGGGGGCCTGAATAGCACGCAGTCGCGTATCTTAGCTGGAATTCCACGCCACGTAAAATGTGAATGTTTTGGAGGGCGAAGTTTTGTATGTGGGAAAGTTTCTTAGGGAGCCTAAGAACCCCTCCTGGCTCGGACAAAAAGCTAGAGGTCCAGGAAATGTCCTTCTCTTCCAGGCATACGAGGCTTGATGCTGTGCGCGCTGTGCGCCTCCCTCATGTCCTCCCTGACTTCTGTTTTCAACAGTTGCAGCGCCCTGTTCACACTGAACATCTACCACCGGCTCCGGCCTGTGGCCACGGAAAAGGAGCTCATGGTCACGGGAAGGTGATGTATGTCTCTAATCCCAGTGGTCACGGCGGCCAGTGCCCACAGCCTGGGGGTAACATGTGAGAAGGTTAGGCTGGAATTGGCTGCCGGTGGAATTACTCTGTTTATATAGGATCTGGTTGGTTTCGTATTTTATGTTTGTTTGGTTTTGGTTTGTTTTTGGTTTTTTTGTTGTTGTTGTTTTTTTTTTTTTGGTTTGGGGGTTATTTTGCTATTGTTTTTACAATGAAGCTATGTTACTTTGGTAACCACAAGAAAAGTGTTCCTATTTGGGAAAAAAATAAATGGCAGTGATAAAAATGAGCATACTAGGGTCGGGTGGTGGAATACAGTAACACACTGAAAGGTCCTGGGTTCGTACCCTGGGGCCTCCCCGAGCATGCCAGGTGTACAGGCATGTGCTGGTGACCTGTGCTGGCTGAGACAGGGTGGGTCACGGTGTGAAGACCCTGTTGGAAGGATCTGTCTCTCTGAAGAAAGAAATGAATAAGCTTATGTACGTATGTATTTAGAGAGGTTTTGACCTTAGGGCGTGTGCACTCACAGGCGAGAGGGAGACAGAAACAGTGAGAAGGAAGGTGAGAAATCACCCCCCAGGGAGGATGTCCATGCCGCAGCCCCCTTTCCCCCATCTTGGGTACACATGCATACACACACACACACACACACACACACACACGCCCAGAATGATTTTCTTTTTTCTTTTTTCTTTTGGAGAGGTGTTTGCTATAGGGTGCATGCACTCGCCAGAAAGACAGAAACCCAAAGACAGAAAGCGAGAAATCACACACGCCCCCGGGGAGGGGGTGGCCATACCACAATCCTTTCTCCTCCATTCTCCTCTCGGGTTCTTGGGCACACATGCCTGGCGTGAGTTTAAGCCACCGGGTCCAGGACTTGAACTGCAGTCAACTACACGGGAGTCCAGCAACGTAGCCATTATGCCATCTGCTGGTCCTCCCCCCAGCATGATTTTCAAGCCACAGGGTCTGGGACTCAAACTGCAGTTGGTCATGTGGGAATCCAGCAATGTAAGTGCTAAGCCATCCACTGGCCCAGAATAGTAATAATAATTTATTAAAATGAACACATGTAGGCACAGTGCAGCTTCGCGCTCTTCTGGTCACAGACAGCCGGGGCGTAGAGGGCGGTGGCAGTGGGCATCGGATGGGCAACAGCGCAGAATGTTGGCTACCAGCGTATTTAGCCTCATTGGCAAGCAATTTCCATCCCAGTGTGTGTATGAACACACGGAAGTGTGGTGAAGAGTGACAACTTCATTCTCCCGAGTTACGTCAACTGCTGTGACTATCCCTTGCCCAAAGTGGCCCATGTCAAGCACTTGCCTGCCAGCCAGAAGGCCTTGAAAGAGAAGGAGAAGGCCTCCTGGAACAGCCTGTCTGGGCACGAGAAGGTCGAGTTGTATCCGTTCAGTTCAATGAGAGCTTCGCCAGATGGACAGAGGCACGTGTGAGTGGAAGACAGTGGTGGGCGCGGCCCATGTTCTTCCTCGGCTTCACCACGCTGGTTCTGATCCGGGAGAAGCACTGTGTGTAGGGCCCCATCCTGCACACCTTCAACAAGGACTGGGTGGCCACACAGACCAAGAGGGTGCTGGACATGAAGGTCAGCCCCATCCAGGGCTTCTCCACCAGGTGGGACTACGACAAGAACGAGTGGCAGATGTAAGCCGGGCTCGCCAGCACGGTCCCATCCATCCTGTCACCACGCAGCTCCACATACTTGCTGGAAACCTGCGGTGGCAAGCTGTCCCCATGCAAATAAATGACCAGTGTACCTGAAGAAAAAAAAGAAAAAAAGAATACGTAGCCCCCAAATAGTCCTTGTGGGGGAATTTAAAACATTATCTCATTTAGTCCTCGTGACAACCATTAAAGGTAGATCTTCCTGTTTTTAGTTTCATTGTACAAATGGGAAACAGTGGCTCAGAGAGGGACATTGATCTCCGTGCTGTCACAGCAAGTAGGGAAACTTGTCCCTCTCTATGCCGCACCGTTAATCAAAATGCCACAGGGCACCTGCTAGATCCCTATCTTTAAGTAGCTTATTTCATAGGGTTTTGCCCAGGCCAGCCAGGGGACACATCCAACCCACATGTCTTTAACTTCTCTTACATTATGCCTAAAATACTTCCTTTGTCTTACATCAAAGTGAGTATCAATTATCTACTTTAGGAACCAACAGATGGCGTAATGATTAAGTCACTGAACTCCACATGGTTGACCATGGTTCGAGTCCCAGACACAGTAGCTTAAAACTCACACTGGGCACATGTGCATGCATGCCCAAGATCCCAAAAGGAGAATGGAGAAGAGATTGTGGCCTGACCACCCCACCCCACCCCCCACAAGGGTGATTTCTTGCTTTCTGTCTTTTTCTTTCTCTGTCTCCCTGGTGAGTACATGCCACATGCAACTTACAGCAAAAATCTCTATAAAAAAAAAATCTACTTTATCTGTATAACCCTGTAGATATTTGAGTTTGCCTCTTCTATTAGCATTCATAGTTTAAAGAGCATTTCCTGAGGGCTCCACAGCCTAGTGACTAAGGGAGCTGGATCCCACACGGCAGACTGCAGTTTTAATCCTAGTCCCAAAGCTTGACAAACACACCAGGCACATGTGCATGCATGTCAAAAATCCTGATAGGATGGAGAAATGGAGGAGAAAGTATTGAGGCATGACCATACCCCATTGAGGAAGTGCTTTCTTTTTTATTATTTTATTTTGCCAGAGGGCACGAATACACACCAAAGAGAGAAGGAGAGGGAGAAAGCACACCCTCCCCAAAGCATTGTCGAAAGAAATGAACAAAATCTAAAATTATACTGGAGTATACCATATCCATGAATTATAAGATTCGATATTGACAATATGCCATACCATTCAGAATAATCCCAAAGTTGCAATACTTTCCTCTTTTTTTTTTTTTTATAAAAATTGCCAAATTGGGAACCAGCAGTTAGCGTAATGGCTATGTCGCTGGACTCCCACGTAGACGACCGCGGTTCGCGCCTCCGGCCCAGCTACGTTCGCGTCTCGGACCCAGTGACTTAAATCTCACGCCGGGCACTTGTGCGTGCGTGCCCAAGATCCCGAGAGGAGAATGGAGAAGGGATTGCGGCGTGACCATCCCCCCGGGGGGTGATTTCTCGCTTTCTATCTCTATGTCTCTCTCTGTCTGTCTAGCGAGCGCACGCGCCCTATAGCGAAAACCTCTCCAAAAAAAAAAAAAAATTGCCAAATCAAATCAACTCTAAAATGTAAAACTGCAAAAAGCAAAGACTAGCCAAGGCAATTCCATAAAAATGCATAAAAATAAGATAGTTGGGAATGCTGCTGCGAATATTTGGAAATCAAACATGCAGAGGTGAGAGATTTATGCTAACTTTCATAGATACAGGTATCTATGAGTACTTTTAAAGTTTATGGAAAAATAGAATCCAAGTATGCATTTATTTTGGTGTGAAAAGATTTCAAAATCCGTGAAGAGTTGTTCTATACTATGCGTTGTCCATAAATTTTATGAAGACCCCCCCCTTATGTTGTAAAGTAATACTAACTAAAACAGTGTAGTTTTGTCTATAGACAAATCAATGGAACAAAATACAGAATATAAAAAAGGGTTCGCAGATAGACAGTGACCTGCTTTATGGCAATGATTACTGGACAGTGCAGTGGAGAAAGGAATTTTCAATAAATTGTCATGGGTAATTTGACTTAAATTTTTTAAATATTATTTTTAAATTTTTAAAGAATTATTTATCTAGTTTTATTTTTTATTATGATTTAATCTGACTAGAGAGAAAAAAGAAAGGGAAAGTGAGAAAACAAGCCACCAGGTCCAGGACTCGAATTATGGGCAGCCATGTGGGAGTCCAGCGCCTTAACTACCACACCACCTGCCAGCCCCGATTTTTAACTTATTTTTAAATTTGCTATAAGGTGCATGTGCTTACTGGAATGAGATAGACTGAGAGGGGGAAAGTAAGAAAGCACCCCACAAGGGAGAGCGTCAGGCCATAACCCCTCCTCCATTCTCCTCTTGGTATTTTGGGCACGCACACACACGCACCTAGTGTGTTTTTCCTAGCAGCCAGGTCTAGAGCTTGAACCATGCAGTTGACTACACGAGAGCTATCTGCCTTCACCTCCATGCCACCAACTGAACCTGGAACTCTTTTATTTGCCTCTTCTTCAACTATCAGTGATAATTAGTCCTTTCTAGTTTATATTACTCTCTCAAAATGATCATTTTTCAGGCCAATCATGGTGGCAGTGTGGTGATACAACACTCCACGGTGCTGGGGTCAAGTGGGAGGGTCACAGGGCTGCATCCTGAGGTTCCTCTGTGCACACTGGGTGCACATACGTGTGTCCATGATACTAGCTCACTGAGCTGGGGCGGGATCATGGTGTGGGCACTGTGTTGGGGGTGCCTGCTTCTCTCTCTCTCTCTTGCTCTCTCATAAAAGAAGTGAATAAATAAACCTTTAAAAAATTATAATCAAGGCTAGCCAGTGGCATGATGGTTAGGGCAGCTGGATCCCACATAGCTAACTATGCAGTTCAAATCCCGGATCAGCTGCTGGAAGAACACCCCAAGTGTATATGCATGTATGTCCAAAATCCCAAGAGGAGAATGGAGGAGAAGGGATTGTGATGTGATCATCCCCCTGGGAAGGGGGGGGGATGCTATCTTATTCTCCCCCCATCTCTCTGATGAGCGTATGCATCCAATAGCCACAAAAACAAATGTTAATGATAATTTTTCATCCCTGTTGACCTAGAACTAAGATTTCTTCATCTTTGGGGTGACATTTTACCTAGTATAATTTTCTATGCAGATTCACATTCATTGATCATTTACCTAGAAAAAAATAATATTTCTAACCCCTACCCAGTTCCTTAAAATTTTCAGCAAAATTTAAATAGTAAGTTTCTGAATTTAACTTGTGGAAATCATTAAGATCATGTGCCATAGTAATCTCTGTGGAATTTTTTTTTTTAATGTGTGAACCCTCAATAAATTGAAGCTTGTCATGTTATTTTATGTATTTAAGTCTGACTGCTCCAAACAGACCCTCCAAATTTGGGGAAAATTTGTCTGTTAGCCAGTAACAGGCAAGTACTTCAGCTGTGGTTTTATTTTATAATGGAAAGTGTGTGCATGCCCATGTGAAAGAGAGAGAAAAATCACCCTTCTCGGGGTTTCGTCACAATCCAGGACCCTGGGTGCCCACAAGCACTCACCCAGTGTGTTTTTCAGACCGATCGCAATCTGAACCGATGCCTTCCAGCACTGCTTGGTATCAGCATTGCTGTTAAAACACAGCAGCTGAGGCTCTGTTTGTTTTTATTTATTTGTTTGTTTGTTTTATTTTTTTTTTTGGAGAGGTTTTTGCTATAGGGCACGTGCACTCGTCAGACAGACAGAAATAGACAGAGAGAAAGCGAGAAATCACCCCCCAGGGGATGGCCACACCACAATCCTTTCTCCTCCATTCTCCTCTCGGGATCTTGGGCACGCACACACACGCGCCCGGCATGAGTTTTAAGCCTCCTGGTCCAGGACTCGAACTGTGGTCGACTACATGGGAGTCTAGCGACATAGCTATTATGCTAACTGCTGGTCCCGAGGCTCTGTTTGATTTGTTCAGAATGTGTAGAGTTTTCATCTATAGCCCTGTGATACCTACTTGTGTTTAAGCGTGTAGCTATCTCCTCTGCCCCCACACTGATGAATGGACACATATTTTTTGTTTTATTTTGTTGTTGGTTTGGGGTTTTTTTTAAGGTTTTGTTTGTTTGTTTGTTTGTTTTGTTTTGTTTTGTCTTGTTTTCTATAGAGCATATGCACTCCTCAGAGAGGCAGAGAAAGGGAAAGGAAGAAATCATTCCCCGGGAGGGATGACCCTGCTGCAGTCCCTTCTCCTCCATTCTCATCTTGGAATTTTGGGCATGCACACACATATGCCCAGAGTGGTTTTCAAGCTGCTGGGTCCAGGACTCAAACTGCTGTTGGCCATATAGGAGTCCAGTGCTTTAACGACCATGCCACCTGCTGGTCCCCCACTTCAATTTAAACTGAGGAATAATTCAGTTGCTAGTTTATGCCTTGGGTCAACAGATGGCGTGGCGGTTAAGGCATTGGATTCCCACATGGCCAGCAGCAATTTGCGTCCTGGACCTGGTGCATTGCTTTTTCACTCTTCCTCTCTCTCTCTGGTCAAATTAAAAAATAATAATGATGATAAAGGAATAAAATTAAATAAATAATTCTTTAAAAAATGGTTTATGGCTTATCAATATTTTGTTGACAGGGCAACCACTGAACTGTCACTGACTGTTGGTTTAATTTACAGGTTTTTTATTATAATCTTACTGGCTGTCACCATTGCCTGGATCCCTATTATGAAAACGGCTCAGAGTGAACAACTGTTCATATACATGCAGGCTGTCAGGAGTTACATGACGCCCCCCATTGCTGCCCTCTTCCTGCTTGCCATGTTTTGCAAGAGAGTCAATGAGCAGGTGCGTGCGTTGGAATGGTGGGAGGGGTCGCCTTTACGTTGTCACTGTCTTTGCAAGAGCTGCCCTAGGAGGGTCGGATGGAGTAAAGCACCATGCTCTGCAAGGCTTACCTACATGAGTTCTAGGCTCACATCCAGAGGTTTCCCTGAGTGCATCAGGTGCACATGTGCACATGATCTGGGACTGGCTAGAACTGGGGTGGTGATGGGAGGGGATCACAGCCTCATGATCCTGTGGGGGATGGGCAGCAGGTGGCATGGTGGTTAAGACGCTGGACTCCCATATGGCTGACCACAGTTCGAGACCTGGACTTAGCAGTTTGCTTTTTCACTTTCCCTCTCTCTGGTGAGTGCACATGCCCTGTAGCAAATTAAAAAATAATAATCATAATAATAATACTAATACATTTTTTGGAGAGATTTTAGCTACAGGGCATGTGCACTCACCAGAAAGACAGAGAGAGACATAGAGACAGAAAGCGAGAAATCACCCCCCAGAGGGGAATGGCCACGCCACAATCCCTTCTCCATTCTCCTCTCAGGATCTTGAGCATGCACGCACACGCGCCCGGCGTGGTTTAAGTCACCGGGTCCAGGACTCAAACCACGGTCGACTACATGGGAGTCCAGTGACATAGCCATTACACTAACTGCTGGTCCCACTAGTACATTTTTTAATTAAAAAAATAAAGATCCTCTTGTGGGTGCTCTGTCTCCCTCATAGAAGAAGTACATAAATTGTTTTTTTCCCCCCCTCTGTTCTGCTACAGAGCACATGTGCTCACCAGAGAGAGGAAAAGTGAGAAATCACCCTCTGGAAGGGGTGGTTGGAGAGATGGCACACTGCAGTCCCTTCTCTTCCATTCTCCTGTGGGGATTTGGGGCACACACACACTTGGGCCTGGAGTGTTTTTCAAGCCACTAGGTCCAGGACTTGAACTGCGTGAGGTCAGCCCTGTGAGATCCAGCCATCTGAACCACCGTGCCACCCGAGTGGCCCAGTAACCTTTAAAAAGAGAAAAGACGGTTCTCTCAGGAGCGTATCGTGTGCTGCAAGAGTTCACACCTTGACATCATTCGCTCTCCAAGAGATGATGAGATTGTGTCCAAGCCTCCTCTTAGGCCTGGGGGAAAGGGAGTTTCTACTGGATCATGCTCAGCTTTGGACACTCTTCCAACTTTGGCCACAGGTTTGAGCCCTACTTCACCCATCACAGAGTGGGGAAAGAGCATGTGCTTAGGCACCAGACAAAACCCAAGTCTGAGTTTAGATTTTGCCTCCATTAACTCATCTTGGGCAAGATTGAGCCTGGCTTTCCTCATCTGTTAAATGGGGATAAAAATAGAACCTACTTGACAGAGTTCTGAGGGATGAAGATAAAAAAGACCGTGTATGCATGGAGCTATGAGCAGTTCCTGGAATGCAAGTGCCCGAACAATGTCAGCTGATGCTGACCACAGTGAGGATGATGACTCTTATTTTGACAAGGGACGTCACAAGAGTCATCATATAGGGTTTCTATCTGATCTCACACAGCATTATAAAACTTCACCCTTTCCATTGGCGAGGGTAACAAAATATAAAAAAGTCCAGAGAAAGAAAAGTAGAAGGGGAAAGTAGGTAAAGTATTCAGCCAGGCCTCCTAGAATTTTCAGATGCTTTCACACACAAACCAGAATTGGCCCTCAGCTGCTAGAATGTTCCAGGCGATACAACCTGAGCAACGTCCCAATCAGTAAGACTGGTCTGGGTCAGTTCTGACAGGACCAGCATAAAGAATAATGCTGGGGGGTCAGCCGGTGCCCTGGTGGTTGAGGCAACTGGATCCCACATGATTGGTTGCCCAGTTGGAGTCCTGAACCCAGCAGTTTGAAAAACACACCAGGTGTGTATGCATGCATGCCCAAAATCCCAACAGGAGGGAGAAATGGAGGAGAAGGGATTATGGTGCGACCATCCCCCTGGGAAGGGGGGGGGATGCTATCTTATTCTCCCCCCATCTCTCTGATGAGCGTATGCATCCAATAGCCACAAAAACAAATGTTAATGATAATTTTTCATCCCTGTTGACCTAGAACTAAGATTTCTTCATCTTTGGGGTGACATTTTACCTAGTATAATTTTCTATGCAGATTCACATTCATTGATCATTTACCTAGAAAAAAATAATATTTCTAACCCCTACCCAGTTCCTTAAAATTTTCAGCAAAATTTAAATAGTAAGTTTCTGAATTTAACTTGTGGAAATCATTAAGATCATGTGCCATAGTAATCTCTGTGGAATTTTTTTTTTTAATGTGTGAACCCTCAATAAATTGAAGCTTGTCATGTTATTTTATGTATTTAAGTCTGACTGCTCCAAACAGACCCTCCAAATTTGGGGAAAATTTGTCTGTTAGCCAGTAACAGGCAAGTACTTCAGCTGTGGTTTTATTTTATAATGGAAAGTGTGTGCATGCCCATGTGAAAGAGAGAGAAAAATCACCCTTCTCGGGGTTTCGTCACAATCCAGGACCCTGGGTGCCCACAAGCACTCACCCAGTGTGTTTTTCAGACCGATCGCAATCTGAACCGATGCCTTCCAGCACTGCTTGGTATCAGCATTGCTGTTAAAACACAGCAGCTGAGGCTCTGTTTGTTTTTATTTATTTGTTTGTTTGTTTTATTTTTTTTTTTGGAGAGGTTTTTGCTATAGGGCACGTGCACTCGTCAGACAGACAGAAATAGACAGAGAGAAAGCGAGAAATCACCCCCCAGGGGATGGCCACACCACAATCCTTTCTCCTCCATTCTCCTCTCGGGATCTTGGGCACGCACACACACGCGCCCGGCATGAGTTTTAAGCCTCCTGGTCCAGGACTCGAACTGTGGTCGACTACATGGGAGTCTAGCGACATAGCTATTATGCTAACTGCTGGTCCCGAGGCTCTGTTTGATTTGTTCAGAATGTGTAGAGTTTTCATCTATAGCCCTGTGATACCTACTTGTGTTTAAGCGTGTAGCTATCTCCTCTGCCCCCACACTGATGAATGGACACATATTTTTTGTTTTATTTTGTTGTTGGTTTGGGGTTTTTTTTAAGGTTTTGTTTGTTTGTTTGTTTGTTTTGTTTTGTTTTGTCTTGTTTTCTATAGAGCATATGCACTCCTCAGAGAGGCAGAGAAAGGGAAAGGAAGAAATCATTCCCCGGGAGGGATGACCCTGCTGCAGTCCCTTCTCCTCCATTCTCATCTTGGAATTTTGGGCATGCACACACATATGCCCAGAGTGGTTTTCAAGCTGCTGGGTCCAGGACTCAAACTGCTGTTGGCCATATAGGAGTCCAGTGCTTTAACGACCATGCCACCTGCTGGTCCCCCACTTCAATTTAAACTGAGGAATAATTCAGTTGCTAGTTTATGCCTTGGGTCAACAGATGGCGTGGCGGTTAAGGCATTGGATTCCCACATGGCCAGCAGCAATTTGCGTCCTGGACCTGGTGCATTGCTTTTTCACTCTTCCTCTCTCTCTCTGGTCAAATTAAAAAATAATAATGATGATAAAGGAATAAAATTAAATAAATAATTCTTTAAAAAATGGTTTATGGCTTATCAATATTTTGTTGACAGGGCAACCACTGAACTGTCACTGACTGTTGGTTTAATTTACAGGTTTTTTATTATAATCTTACTGGCTGTCACCATTGCCTGGATCCCTATTATGAAAACGGCTCAGAGTGAACAACTGTTCATATACATGCAGGCTGTCAGGAGTTACATGACGCCCCCCATTGCTGCCCTCTTCCTGCTTGCCATGTTTTGCAAGAGAGTCAATGAGCAGGTGCGTGCGTTGGAATGGTGGGAGGGGTCGCCTTTACGTTGTCACTGTCTTTGCAAGAGCTGCCCTAGGAGGGTCGGATGGAGTAAAGCACCATGCTCTGCAAGGCTTACCTACATGAGTTCTAGGCTCACATCCAGAGGTTTCCCTGAGTGCATCAGGTGCACATGTGCACATGATCTGGGACTGGCTAGAACTGGGGTGGTGATGGGAGGGGATCACAGCCTCATGATCCTGTGGGGGATGGGCAGCAGGTGGCATGGTGGTTAAGACGCTGGACTCCCATATGGCTGACCACAGTTCGAGACCTGGACTTAGCAGTTTGCTTTTTCACTTTCCCTCTCTCTGGTGAGTGCACATGCCCTGTAGCAAATTAAAAAATAATAATCATAATAATAATACTAATACATTTTTTGGAGAGATTTTAGCTACAGGGCATGTGCACTCACCAGAAAGACAGAGAGAGACATAGAGACAGAAAGCGAGAAATCACCCCCCAGAGGGGAATGGCCACGCCACAATCCCTTCTCCATTCTCCTCTCAGGATCTTGAGCATGCACGCACACGCGCCCGGCGTGGTTTAAGCCACCGGGTCCAGGACTCAAACCACGGTCGACTACATGGGAGTCCAGTGACATAGCCATTACACTAACTGCTGGTCCCACTAGTACATTTTTTAATTAAAAAAATAAAGATCCTCTTGTGGGTGCTCTGTCTCCCTCATAGAAGAAGTACATAAATTGTTTTTTTCCCCCCCTCTGTTCTGCTACAGAGCACATGTGCTCACCAGAGAGAGGAAAAGTGAGAAATCACCCTCTGGAAGGGGTGGTTGGAGAGATGGCACACTGCAGTCCCTTCTCTTCCATTCTCCTGTGGGGATTTGGGGCACACACACACTTGGGCCTGGAGTGTTTTTCAAGCCACTAGGTCCAGGACTTGAACTGCGTGAGGTCAGCCCTGTGAGATCCAGCCATCTGAACCACCGTGCCACCCGAGTGGCCCAGTAACCTTTAAAAAGAGAAAAGACGGTTCTCTCAGGAGCGTATCGTGTGCTGCAAGAGTTCACACCTTGACATCATTCGCTCTCCAAGAGATGATGAGATTGTGTCCAAGCCTCCTCTTAGGCCTGGGGGAAAGGGAGTTTCTCGTTCGTATTCCTCACTTTGTAACGAAATCCACTTTCAGTCATGCCCTAGACAAGGCAGAATTGTGAATGACTGCCCCTCATACATATTCGGTTATAGGAAGATACTCTTCTCTGGCCTCCTCCCATGGATGTGTCATGCTCAGGGATTTTACTCTCCCAGGAGGAAGGGCGCTAGCAGGCCTCTTCCACTTTCCCTGCTGTGAGGTCATGATTTTGAGCATCTCTTTCAGCCACACATAAGCCCAAACAAAGATCCCAATTACCAATTCAGTCATCAAATCAGTGAGATTTTGAAGGCATAATTTGCCAGATCTTTTTTTTTTTCACTATAGGACATGTACACTCGCTGGAGGGAGACAGAGAGAGAGAGAAATTGAGAAGTCATCCCCCAGTGAAGACGGCCATGCTGCAATCTCTTCTTCTCCATTCTCCCCTCGGGATTTTGGACACACACTACAAGTGCCCAACATGTGTTTCAAGCCATTGGGTCCAGAACTCAAAGCACAGAGTTGGCCATGTAAGACCCAACGCCTTAACCACCATGCCATTTGTTGGCTCCAGATTTTGTTTTTCCTCGAGTCATATCTCAGATCTTCCCATTTA